GTTTCCTGGTGAAATTCAGTATTCAAAACATTCCAAGCAGACAGCATTAACTGTAAAACTTAAGGAGATTCCAGTATGGACCGGTGACTAGGAAAATGTTATAGCGCATGACTGACTAAGCACAACCCCGTAAAGTGAGTGTCGAGATACACGTGCATGTAAAACCGAATGTAACATGAGCCTCCCGACGGCAGTATCTCGCAAAGTTTCTAGCTCATGGTGATGTGCACGTGTGGTCTATATTACCAATATCATAGCTCTTCGATGTCCGTCTTTTTAGAGTAAGGCATCGTACATTGTATTTTTCTAACGAGAATACATTTTTGCGTATTTGCGTTCAGACTTATCATGTGGGCACCCATGATTCATCTTTACATTCCCTGCGACCCGGTATTCCACAGCGCCAGATATGTAGAGCCCCGCATATCCGCGGATTAGCCGCGGGTCATCTGCGGATATCCGCCGTCAGCTGGAGGATGCAGATAAGAATGAATCTGATATGGCGGATTACGGATCGGATGCGGATACCTGCGGGTCCGGATCTACGTTTTTTTGCCGAGGCGGCCCATGGACGTCTGCGGCCGCACAGTGTAGATCAAGGCTGTCCAAACTTTTTTGGCTAAGGGGGCGGATCAGCGATACGTGCTGTCTCGAGGGATAGTGGTCTCCAGGGGAGAGGAGAGATATAAAAGTGATCACTGCGACGGGCTGTGTGGCTCGTGGTTGCCATACAGTGACCGTCGGACCCGCTGTGGGACGCACCCGTGTCTTAGTAGCGGAGGCGGACAGTGAGTCGGGCATCGGTGGTGCTTTTAGTACCGGCTGGCTTTTCCTGGGCCGTTCCACTGGCTATGCAGATTGGTGGTTTCCTTTATTTCCAATTAATTTCCAAATGGCATTTCCGAGAAATTTTTACTTGGTCCAAGGATCCAGTTCATTTTACTTTAAATTGGCTTTAAGTCTGCGGTGCGAAAGCGGAAGCGGACTAGAGACACAACATTTTTTTTTTATTTCTTTAAGTCTCAACATAGTAAATGTCTCGAGGGCCGGAAAATGAATGTGTAGATATAGACGAGGAGAATATATATAAATAATTCTTGATGGGCACTTAAACACAAAATTGTAAGTTAGTAAAAATTAAAATAGAAGGATAGAAGGAGGGTGGAATACTTCTACTTTATTTTGAAATACAACAGTTATGTAATTATGACCATACACAATAATTGGGACCCAGAAAAATCACCATGCATAAATCAAGCAGCATAGAAACCTCGGTATGTTCCAACAGGACAGATGGCTAAAGATAATTGGATAGCTAATGCTGGCAAGATTCATTAGATACGTATACAGGACACTAAACGAACAACGCGTGGGTACGCAAAGTAATTTTAACGTACGTAGTTACACAGATATAAAACACGGTACTAAGAGTGATGATGTTGGTGATGACAATGTCCGACGAATAGTATGACTAGGCGACACGCCTCACAACAGACAGTTTTCTCTCGTTTTTCTATGGCTGGGTATTTGATTGATTAACCTAACAATTAATAAATTGATACTTTAATCTCGATTATTTTTTACCGGTTAATTTGTTAAATTTTGACAAACAAAAAGAAAGTAAAAATTAAACGCTTTCACCACGCAGACGCCGATGAGTACGCCTCTATGAAGAAAAACGTTACGTGAAATATTGACCTAAAGTAAACAGTAGGGGCGATATTCTGAAATCTAAAGAAGTGGAGAAGGTTATACGGTGACCCGGCCACTTCAATGCCGTGCGAGTGTCTGTTTAGCGCAGCACAGCCTATTGTGAGCAATCAAAGGAGTTTGCTATTACCGGAGAATAACACCGAACCTGTTCGCCTCTGTGGCTGAAGTAGTAATTTGCAAGGGGGGTGTCCTTTCGGCTGTTCTCAACTACACATCGAGGTAGATGTAAAACCCGAAAGTGTATGCTCATCCGCTCATCACAACTTTAGCAACGGCAAAAACTTTAGTTTTTACTTTTCCGAAAATATTAGGCATGGGGGAATGAACGAGACCGATCAAACGATTAACTAATCGATTAAAAGGTGTCGATTAATGGAGTTAAAAATTTTAATCCGCGCCTAGAGCTAGTTTTTTCTGGTGTCTTCGAATGGTGAGCGTTCGCGGTTTCTTTAACCGGCTTATTTTTGCGCCGGTAGCAGCGGGCCTGCTGAAAGCAAGCCGCGGGCCGGGCTTGAGGAAGGACCGCGGCCAGCCAAGAGCCAGTCGGAAGAACCCTGCGGGCCGATTTCGACCTGCAGGTCGAAATCGGCCCGCAGGGTTGGGGGCGGGGTTTGGAGACCCCTGGTGTAGTGCGAGTTTTTGAGTTATATTATGAAGTGCCTAATCGAATATTTTCTGGGGGCAAATTACACCCTTAGACAAAAAAAAAAGCCAATCGGAGAGAAAATTTCGCTTTACGCCAGGAAAGACCCGATTCTCGACGTAGGTTGCTTCAGAGCGTTCTATGTCGAGAGAAACGCTGTTCTTAGGAAAAAAAGTTGGAAGTGCACGGGCATCAGTCGTCCTGGAAATGAGTGCTCTTGTTTAACATGGAAAGAACTGAAAAAGTTCTTCGGGCATAGAATACCCAAACACGAAAAATCAAAGTCTTCCGTCCCCCCGTGGCGTGTGCGCGCCTTTTTTCTTCTTTTTTTCTCACACGCACACAAAATTTTAAATCAAGATAAATATAGTCCGGACACAAAGTATCCTAAATTTATCGGAGCTCACTTGTATTCAAAAATATTTATGCTACTGTATTTGGCGTTGGCGCCCTTGCCATTGGATACTAAGCGTCCCGCAACTCTTAAAAATACGAGGCGAGGGGCGTGATTTCCGAAGAAAGAAAGAAGCGGACACGAGAACAGTTCAGTAGGCGCTGTGTTCTAAGTAAACACAACTTAATAACGTAGATAGTTATTTTTGTTTCGATGTCTGTGGTTTTTCTTTTTTAATTTATAGTAGGTAAATTTGTTGATGTTGTTGTTGTTGTTTTTTGAGGGGGTGTTCCCGATTTTGAAGAAACCAGCTCGGAAGTGAATTCCGGATTAACTTGCGGGGTTTATTCTTCTAATCAGAAAACACGCAACCTTAGAAGTTTTGACGTACATATCCTCAGTTTGCATGTGAATTAGTTCATGAATCAATAGACAGCCCTACTCTTCTCGGTTCTCTACACTACCATATTCCAGTTAGAACGAGCTCTAGGAATCGCCGAGTATTTTACCCAGACCTTTATCACAATTTGTCCTGTTTATGGTGCCAGCTAAACATGAATAAAAACACATAGAGAGAGAGACACACACAAATAGATACACACACAACAATGTGTCTCTCTATATCTGTTTTTCCTTCATGTTCAGCTCGCACCAAAAACCAACATTGTACCAAGTTGCTTCCAGCATTTTCAAACACGAAGTTTTGCAACATTTATATTCGTTGTATACATTTGCCGTTTTTTTTTAACCATGTGTATAAATTTTAAGCATGTGCATGTTTCTAAGTTTATGTATAACATGTAAGCACGTATATTTGCGGCGAATATGCATCTCATGTTTTTTTGTTGTTGTTTTTTCACCTCAAAAGTCTTCGCGCTGTTGGTAAGCACGTTAAAGAAAATTTACAATGATTTGAATTGAATCGAATTACAGTTTTTTTGTGGCTGATTTCTATATCGCGTTCTTTACGCTATTCAATCATATGCCCATCAGGAATGTAAAAAGCCAACTGCAAAAAGAACAGAAAAGTACCCTATCATGCGTATTCCAATCAATTATGTATTGCAATGTTCACACACTCACTGATCATTTCAGAGATGGTCCAACGACACTGATAAGGCACATCGCACACATTATTTGCGGCGTGCTCAAAAACAAACGTCTGGCAGTATTTTTAATTTATGAGTTTTTTTTACTACTCCTAATAATATATTCTTTCTAGCTCTTCGTACGTTTTATTTTATTTATGATCCTGGTTTTCTTCCGCAATCACCATACTTTACTCATCCCCACGACTGCCTCAACTTTGCGGTCGCATATATAGTTTGCCAAGTTCTCCAAATTTTGATTCCTGAAAAAGCTGCGTGTAACCAAATTAAATATCAAGCGCGGCCGTCATTAATCATCCGCAGTGAGCCAACTTTGGGGGGCGCAGACACGCCGCGCCCAAGTCTCGGCTCTAGGCCAAGAGTCGCGCGCGACTCCCTCCTGCCGTGACAGCTGCTGCCCTCCTAATTAGCCTGACCTCTCAGGACTCTGAAGCAGTCGAGGAGCGCCTGACATCCACGAGAGGAAATCGTGACATCTAATTCGTTAAGCTGTCCAGTCGGGACCCCATTCCAGGAAAACCGTGATGTCCCATAAGTGCCAGCCGCTCTGAATGTCTGATATATGAACCGACGGAAGTTTTGTTAGTCTTCTCCGTTTTTTTTCATTTTGTGTCTGTGTGTAGGTGTGTGTGTGGGCGTGTGTGAGGTGAGGGAGGAGGGGGACAGAAGGAACTAACCATAGCCCGTTTCATCTCAACTTGGTTCATGGGGAAAGCCCACGATTGCAGCAATCCAGCCAGAGCAACGGAGGCATGTACGTGACAGCCCTCCGCAGGAGGAAGAGACCCCAACGCTGCGTTGTCGCTCGCCTCCTCCGACGCGCCGATTGGCTCACTGGAATCGTAGTCTTGGCCGTTTGCCAAGTTAGGGTGAAGCTGAGTGTAGGTTGAGAAAAAATAAACTAACGTTTCAACCCTCCGGGGAAAGAGCAAAATAAAAAAATAAAAAAAAAACGTTTGCACTAGCATCCGTTTGTTTACGTAGGCGGGAGGGACAAAAAATCTAATTTTACGTGGGACTGTGTGGAAGAGGGGAAAAAAGAGAAAACTTGTGCGCACCTCGCAGGTACGGTCTCTTACCGCACCTCCGAGAACGACGAAGCTCTTCCCGCGTAGTTTTTCTTCGTTTTAGTGCCTTCGCCATGGGTTTCACAGCCAAAGTTCGGATCGAATTGGCCCTGCTTTTCTTCACGTTCAGCTGTGAGTCCTGCCGGAACACCAATTCCCAATGATATTATTGCGGTTCTTTTTTGGGTATTTAGTTCGAATCAACATTATTCGCCTAATCACTAGAGGTTAACGAAAATACAGTAAGTGTGCAGGCGAGCTGTTGTAAGCTTGGCGTTATGATATTATCCCGGGGCTGGGGCAGAAAAAAAAAACAAAAACACTTTACACTGGTAGGACATAAAACGAAAAAAAACAGACAGGGACAGCCAGCCTTTTAAGAAGTTATCTGTCTCCCTTTTATTTTTCGTTCACCGTAAACTTCTTCCCTCGTCTGGCCGGTCTTGGGGTGATGGACTACGGTAGTCTAGATTGCTTTAAAATAATTACCGTAGTTACTAGACGAATAGCCGCACTATTTATGAACAAGGCCCTTGTGCCTAATTTCCCGCAGAACACATATACAGTCAATCATCGCGTTGCGCATAAATAACATAGCGAATAACTAGATCGAGAACACGAGTCTCCATACAAATGCAACATTCACAGATGGTATCTTCGCGCCAAGACGTTATCTCTGCCCTGTAAACAGCTGGAATCATGCTGTCGACCGCGGTGATTGGCAATCCGCGTGATCCGCAAAAACGCGAACCTTCAAGTTTTCTTCATAAGCAGTGCGTCTATTACTAAAGTAAATACGGTATATTACGAGCGATATAAAAAGCAGTTCGCTTGAATTTGGCCAAACATTGCACAGATGTAGCAACGACAATCAGGCAAACTTTAAAAGAACGGTCTAGAATCTTCGGAATATTTTTTACAGTTCATTCTCGTCAACGACAAAGATGCGTGTAATGAAACTGAACAACCGATGATATGATGATATTCTTTTTCTTTTTCAGGTCTTATTCTACTGCCCGAAGGAAAAGGTGCGAAGGTGCATATCGTCAAGCAAAAATCAGGTGAAAACAAGTAATATTTCTCCGGCCTAACTTCACACAGATTCAGGGAATGAACTAACGTATTATGAAAGGATAGCATCAAACACCCTTTTCCCATGACGAGATTTGATACGATTGCCTTCCGCAATCCACATAAAAAAGTAATATTATAGAGAATTATTGTTTCTAAATGGATTACTACGTCTTTGAAGCACTTCAGGTGCCCGAGCTATGCGCGAAAAAGACACATATTTACCGTTCCGGGACGAACAGAACGCAAATGATTTACTTTCACTAAGAAATAAATAACGGCTATTATCAGAAAGCTGGGCTACAGAATAGATTCCAAAGTTTGCACTTTTATATTATGTACATTTAAGCACCCAATGCTACATTGCAAGCAAAATATAGGAGGTAGGTCATGTAACCGTCCTTAAACTTTGACTAGGACATCGAACATTCCCTATGGCTGATGATCAGACGAGCTGGGATGAGAGATTGAATGTATTACTCGAGTGAAGTAACATAATTCAACCAGTGTATTTTTATATTTTTGTTTCTTGATTTGCGTGATAGCTTCTTCCTCGTGCATTAAAAAAAGAATAAATACCGGGACACATAATATTTCTTAACGCCGTACTAGATCTTGGGAACACTCGAAAGACCAATATGCTCAGTTTGCACCGCAGAGAAAACGGGGACGTTATAACCAAAACACGAACTTTCCTGCATTCACTGAATAACTCCGCGCCACTTTCCTGCCCATTAACTGCAAGACTCCTATAAACAACCGTCGGCGTCTAAAATACAAATCTGGTTAAAATCTAAAAGCACCGGTCAACACTCGCTGACTTTAAAAAAAAAAAAAAAAAAAAAAACGAACACCAATTTCTGGTAACTCTTGCTTCACCTAGAACTGATTTTGTTTAAACCCTCTCCTCCTAGACTCCAATATTTCGTTTTTTCTATCATTTTCCCGCTGATAATCACCGTTTTCAGAGTACGTTCGAACAGATAAGCGAAATACACCGATATTTGAGGAATAAGTGAAGACCAGAAGACTTTTGTCGATTTATTTTCTAAATAAAAAGCGGAAAATTAAACGCCTTTATTACGCATTACAATGCAACGTCTGCTCGCTCAGAACTGGCCTTGCAATCTCAGCCGACGTCTCATGATTCATAAAAGACAACATCGTAAATCGGAGACACATGAAGCTCAATACCACGAAAGACATCGCGGAAATACCCGGGGTACTGAGAGATAAACGTATGCCAAACTTCGTTTTGCTCGGTCTAAGAAAGTGGATTTTAAAAATCTACCTTCGGAAATTGAGACAGCCAGAACAAAGTCATAAATTTCTCGGGCGACATGTTAGCTCTTTTGACTGGCACACACGGACAAATGAATGGGAATTGAATGTAAACTAATATTACGCTTAAAAAAGAATTTAATTTTCGGAAGAGTTGGTACGATGACAGAATTTCAACGGCGCTCGAAATAGAAAATTACAGAAAAAAAGGCGCGTTTTGTGTGTGCTTATTCTCAGTCTTTGTGTATGAGCTCTGCTGGAAATGCAACTCGTTAAAAAAATATATATTTCATAATCTGTGTAGACATAAATGCTTGTTAACGAATAGGCTGCCACGGGCCGCAATCCGATAAACCACAGCGTTGCAAAACTATACAGCATGTTTTTTTTTGTTTTTTTTTTCCAAGCCCATGCAGACTGTGTTTATAAAAACCGTGTAAGCTGCACTAATGCAGTGTGTGCGAATGAGTTACACGGCTAGGGGACATAGTATAAGTGGCCAATCGTTAAAATAAGTCTATTAAGCAACTAATATGTCTCGATTAACTACGTTTTAATTAGCAAGGATAAACTTATGCTTCCAATTAGAAACTTGCTGGGAATAATCGCAAACCACTAAGTCAGTAGATTTGAGAAAGACTTAAAGCGCGTGGGAAGCGTAATAATGCGCTACAGACATCACCTGTATAACAAGCACAAGGCTGGCACTGTGACAGCACGCCGGCGTGGTTTTCCGTCTCTTATCATCTGCGTTTTCGCATCGTCAGCCGTGCGCCTGTAACACGAGTGATAACTTTAGCACACCATCCCATCCCGCTCCATGTCTTTCACAAATTCACCGATTCAGTGATCAGTGTTTGATGACGTTCAGCAAGTTTATGATTTGAACCATTAGTTTATTTTCACTAACTAAAAGTTAATTCACACATTTTCGTTAATTATCCGAATTCTCTTGACGATTAACACCCAACAAACGTCTTATCCGCAGAGGCCCCTGTGGCATCCTCCTCTTCTCCGCCTCAAGTGAAAGTCAAGAGCTCGCCGGGTACGAAGAGATTTCCTTTTATCTCGAAAGAAATGACGAAGTACGCGTCATCAATTTGGTAAAAAGTACTAGCTGTACGGTGCTGCAGATTGTTAGCCGGATGGTACTGGGTATTCGAAAACATGATAGCGCTTGAGACGAGGACAAAGGAGACTGGACAACACAGAGCGCCGACTTCAAATGTTTAATCATCGTTAATTTGGTAATATATGCACTGCGAATGTCGGCGCTCTCAGCCAATCCCAGGCCTCGTCGCCGCTTTCCTCGCTCAGTGTAGCGGGAAAATGTATAAAAATGTAGATTTCTCTTCGCTCCTCGAAACGACGATTGTCTCCCATATAATTTTAAACGATCGCACCTTGCATTTTGCATTACATTCGTTATAGGACTTCCCAAAGAAAGGTCGCCGCCATTTTTTTTTTTTTCACTAACCATATGTTTTTTGTTTGTTTGTTTGTTTTTAGGAATGCAATTGCCACTCTGGTTATTTTGCTAGTTTCTATTATCCGGGTTATCCCTTATTAAATGTCCTCCAAACCAGACAGGATTCTAGATTGCGGCTAGAGGAACACGGAATTGTTTTATTGCTTCCTGGGTCCGTTTCCGAATCTAAAGTGTGCGGCTTCGTTTGCACGAAGCACCGTGGAGCCGTCGGGCGGAGCCGCCGATAAAGTGTCGTCACGGCGATTCTCCAGGCGGTCAATAAAAGTGTATGTGATGTCACGAACTAAACTTTGACCATGGAAAAATCAAAGCGGAAGGATGAGAGGTCGGGGGGATGGTTCGCTGCACTGAACGCAAACCGAAACGGGAGAAAATGGGCAGTTCTGTGGACGCCATGGGTGGGAGGTAAAAAGCCCCTTTTGTGGGAATTTTGATCGGCTTCGAGGAGAGGAATATAACAAAAGTGACTGGCCCATAGGGTTCCGGAAAGGCGATAAATGCCCTTCCCCTCCCGCCCCTGTTTGGCCAAAATTTGTTCAACCTGCAAACCCTGCGAATCCTGCAAACCCTGCGAATCCTGCAAACCCTGCGAATCCTGGAAAACGAAACAGGGATACGTCACCGGTAACATCACACCACATGATAAGAATTCCTGTCTTCCGCTAACCGCAAGCAGGAACCATGTCTGGTTTAGACCACTCTTTACTTTTTCAGTTTTCAGTTAGCCGATAACCTCCAACTCCAAACTAACGCCCTGACCAGTGCCACTTTATGGTTGTAAGGAAGAACACAAAACGTTCTAGCAACCTGAAGCCGCCTCTCAGTAATACCTGAGTTTTTCAATACGCCACCGGTCACGATACTTCGGCCAAAGTTTGGTACATGGTCATAAACTGCCGCCAGAAGCACCACTGCTCACGATGGGGCATTTTTGGCTGGCAACTCTAAATTTGTAAATACAAATACTTGTAATCACGAATTTGGTGGGCTAACTGAGACTGGGGTTTCCAAACGAAAATACCCCCTCCGGAACAGTGGTGCACCTGGTGGCAGTCTATGGCCCCGCACCTAACTTTGGCCGAAGTTTGGAGACCAGTAGCTTATTGAAAGACTCTGTTACTACTCTCGCCTGAGGTTTCAGATATGGCTATATTTCACGACGTAATGAGTATACGGGGTGTTTATTTTTAATTCGAACATACTTTTAAAAAACGGGATGAAAGTTAGACGACTATTTATCGGGCTCGGCGGACATTAGATGAGGTTATCATCGACAAGCAAAGTTGACTAACTAAAATTTGATAATTAACTTTTTAACGATTGGTTTTACGGGCAATGCAGCAATTGTAGTATTCACAGCAATTACAATTAGAGCGTCAAAATTAGCTGTTGGGCTAATTGGTTTTGCATATGTACAATATACCGCAGTTTCATCGCATTTGTCACTTTGTTTACCTCTTTCACGATACACACAGTAAATATCTAGTTGTAAGTAGTGTTCTTTTCTATCTCTGTCTCCTTCCTGTTTTGTCCTTGCGCTACATTGTGAACATTACAATTAGAGGCTGGACCAGTTGAAAACCGAATTGGAAAAGATGTAACTTTTTTCTTTTTTTTTAATATAGGCTCGCCAATTTTTTTTGTTTTTGGTCAGTTTTATAGACGTTTGCAAGTACGTCCTCTGGGTGACGCCACCTAGCTGCTGGTGTGGGCAGATCGTTTGATTGCTGCTTGACAGTCAGACGATCCACCCACTCCAGCAGTTCGATGATAGCGGCGCTCGAAGGACGTACTTGCAAAAGTCGCAAAAACGCTCCGCAAGCCCCGCCCACAATGACGCCGAGAAGAGTGATCTAGTCGTTTCAGCCCCGTAATCACTTGTATCGATGGCGTGTCCACCAAGGACACGCTGCCGAAATAGTGACGACAAAACTAAGATGACTACGTCACTTTTCTAAGCGTCATTAGGGAGTTTTAGAATAGCGCACGCTAAAGCTTTGCGTACGCAAAGAATAGCGTCGTCGCCACTGCGCATGCTCCGAACGCAAACCAGGTTTTGCGCTTTGCGTGCGCAATTTTAGCGTGCGCTATTTCTCGGAAATAGCGTGCGTACGCAAAGAGTCTTTGCGCTTCTCCAAGGAGGATTCATGATGAGAAGTTGGCTAAAGCCAAGACGAGCACAGTTAAAAAAATGGCGGCTTCCAGGATTATGTCGGCGGCTGCTTTGGCGGCGTCGTGAGTGCGACGTCGGCGGCATCCTCGCGACTGCGATTTTCAATCCGGGACGACATTGTACCTGGTTTGGCAACGACCCCCGGCAACTTGATGCTTGCGACGCGCGAACATTTCTCGGCGAAGGTACGATGTACGAAGGTCAGTACGCGAGACCTCTCTTGCCGAGGCGACGCAAGCGGACACGACTTGTCAACCGCTCGCGTCGCATTCTCATGTTTAAACAATTCTAAAATAGTACTCTGAACCAAAAAAACTTGTTTTTTTTTTTTTTAAAGTTACAGCATTTTGTGTGTGAAATAAAAATTGGGACTGTATCTTGGTGGCGTGGCAAGCGCGAGGTGCTTGGGCTTTTGCGTCGCGGCGGAGAAACGCTATTCTAAAACTCTCTTGAGTCGCGTGCGCTAATACAAGCGCTAAATTTAGCGCTAGCGTGCGCTAAAATTGCGTACGTTATTCTAAAACTCCCTATTGTGGACAGACATTGCGGCGTGAAATGTGAAACGTGAAAATAGGTCAATAGATATATAGAAAGCTATTAGCGGCGAGGTGTTTCGGTGGCGCCCTCCTATGGTTCCCTCTTGTGACGTCATTACCTTGCGAACAACAAGTTCGATGGTGTTTGTAAATAGCATGGTGGAAGCCTGAAATCATTGCGCTCTCAAAGCAACACTGCCAACACCGTCGAAATTAAAGCTCTTTCATTCCTCTTATTTCCGTCGATGGTATACCCTTTCCGACGTCATAGCCAGCTTTTGGGCCAATCGTGGAAGGCCGACCACAGCGACGCTTTCGGTCGCGCACGTCGCCAATTGCATTATTGCAAATTCTTTCAATTGGTCTGGCATCTAATAGTAATTGCCGTACATTCTGCGATTTCCAACATAACCCCTAAAACCATTCATTAAAAATTTATTTAACGGATTTTATTCAATTAGCTTAACTACAAAGAAGATTCTTCCCTCAGCTACTGTCCACCGAGCCTGACAAATACATGGCGAAAACGGCACTCGTCTAAACGCCTTCGGTTTTAAATATATTCGAATTAAAATTAAACACACTACATTTTTATTTATTTAATGTCTATCAGCGTGTAATTTTAATTTACGAAGCCACTCGTTGCGAGGGCAGATAATCGAGCGAATGGAATTTTTTTGTTGGGACTATGTGCTACATTCACATCGTACTCACAGAATTAAGCCTGTCTATTTACTCGGTAAGCGGGTCTAACTGTACAGTCTCCGGCAATATGAAAGACCCACTGGGAGCGCGTGGCCGAGGCGGTGGCTGGCGGGGGCGCTGCGAGCGCTCCGGGCAATTCCATTCTGCTTCGAGGGGAGGACGCTCACTCGGGGCTCAGCACAATCTGATAAGCGCGTTTCGCTTTAGCTGAGCCCGAGTGAGCGTCCTTTCCTAGAAGCAGAATGGAATTGCCCGGAGCGCCTCGCAGCGCCCCCGCCAGCCACCGCCTCCGCCACGCGCTCCCAGTGGGTCTTTCATATTGCCGGAGAGTGTACATGTTTGTCTTATTAATATTATTAGTAGTATTTCCTCGTCCTTCTGTACGAAGAACACTAGAAACTAATAATAAGAATGGTGATTGGTTCATGGAAATTGATTGAAAACGTTCTGGACCAGAAAAGCAGACTACTTGTAAGTGGGGTCAGGCAAACCTTCGAGACATCAATTAACATAGTAACTGATTACTCTGTTAACACTACCCAGTGTTTCCATTCAGACTTGTACAGTACACATTACAAAAACTCAAATTACTTGTAATCAATTACCTTTTGGAGTAATTTTGTGATCGTTTATTTATCTTTATAAGGAAGTGATCACGAAAGTACTTTGATTACTTTAAGGAGTAGTAAAATTAACTCAAACCGGTTAATTATTTTTCTGCCGTTCGTAAATGGCGCCTTTTCATCGCACGAGTTTCCTGCAAAGGAATCATCGAACCGAATCGGAGGACGGCTTAGAAAAATGGGTCTATTAAGAAAATGAGCAGTTCATAATGCGGTGATTTGTAATTTACTAACGGACAGTACAAAAGAGCGGTTTTGTAACCGGCAAAAACCTCTGCCGCCCTCGGAGACGCCGAACGGTTACTTTTTTTTTTAGAAACCGGTCAATTACTTTTTGTGTCGAGTAATCGAGTAATCTAATTTAATACTTTTTTAAGCGAGAGTAATTTTAATTGTAATCGATTACTTTTTTCGAGTAACCTGTACGAGATTGTTTCCATTACAAGGAATAAAACAAAACATACAAAACAAAAGCACTTAAATCATAACTGAGCATCATGAATCTGCCTCTTAAATTTG